CACGATTGTCAGTAAGGGGAGGGTATCATAACTGGTTAAAGGGGAAGAAGTATCACAGACGATTGTCAGTAAGGGGAGGGTATCATAACTGGTTGAAGGGGAAGTAGTATCACAAACGATTGTCAGTAAGGGGAGGGTATCATAACTGGTTAAAGGGGAAGAAGTATCACAGACGATTGTCAGTAAGGGGAGGGTATCATAACTGGTTGAAGGGGAAGTAGTATCACAGACGATTACTGTTTAGAAGGCAGACTGAAAGAGAGAAGGAAGGGTCGCTAAAAATACAATGACAACACTATAATAAAGCTTGTTTTTAAGTCAGTCAATTGTATTTTAGTGAAATCGTGTAACATCAACGTTTTCTGACTGATTTAATAACCAACCCGTGCGTTAGCATTGCTATTAATAACTACCGCGTACGTTAATTTTATTATCATAGATCTCATTGCACATTAACTGAAATATCAGTAAATATAATCCACCTTTACGTTAATCTGTATTAGCAATAATCCATCCGTACCTTATTTACTCCCATTTTTCATTGAACTTTACCTTCCAAGATTGATATAAGCAGGCTTCCCCTACCTTGAGGATCTCTAACTAAACGCTTCTTTTTCTAACCTGTGGCTCTGTCGACAATTAGATAACATCATAATCACCATGAGAGTTGGGGAATCTCTGCTAAACCCTGGTGGTAAGGGATGATTATTTTTCTTCCGTCTTTAATACACGGAGAGTTTGAGAATTCTCTGCTAAACCCTGGTGGTAAGGGATGATTATTTTTATTCCGACTTTAATACACGGAGAGTTGGAGAATTCTCTGCTAAACCCTGGTGGTAAGGGATGATTATTTTTATTCCGACTTTAATACACGGAGAGTTGGAGAATTCTCTGCTAAACCCTGGTGGTAAGGGATGATTATTTTTATTCCGACTTTAATACACGGAGAGTTGGAGAATTCTCTGCTAAACCCTGGTGGTAAGGGATGATTATTTTTATTCCGACTTTAATACACGGAGAGTTGGAGAATTCTCTGCTAAACCCTGGTGGTAAGGGATGATTATTTTTATTCCGACTTTAATACACGGAGAGTTGGAGAATTCTCTGCTAAACCCTGGTGGTAAGGGATGATTATTTTTATTCCGACTTTAATACACGGAGAGTTGGAGAATTCTCTGCTAAACCCTGGTGGTAAGGGATGATTATTTTTATTCCGACTTTAATACACGGAGAGTTTGAGAATTCTCTGCTAAACCCTGGTGGTAAGGGATGATTATTTTTATTCCGACTTTAATACACGGAGAGTTTGAGAATTCTCTGCTAAACCCTGGTGGTAAGGGATGATTATTTTTATTCCGACTTTAATACACGGAGAGTTTGAGAATTCTCTGCTAAACCCTGGTGGTAAGGGATGATTATTTTTATTCCGACTTTAATACACGGAGAGTTTGAGAATTCTCTGCTAAACCCTGGTGGTAAGGGATGATTATTTTTATTCCGACTTTAATACACGGAGAGTTGGAGAATTCTCTGCTAAACCCTGGTGGTAGGGGATGATTATTTTTCTTCCGACTTTAATACACGGAGAGTTTGAGAATTCTCTGCTAAACCCTGGTGGTAAGGGATGATTATTTTTATTCCGACTTTAATACACGGAGAGTTGGAGAATTCTCTGCTAAACCCTGGTGGTAGGGGATGATTATTTTTCTTCCGACTTTAATACACGGAGAGTTGGAAAATTCTCTGCTAAACCCTGCTGGNGGATTCTCTGCTAAACCCTGGTGGTAAGGGATGATTATTTTTCTTCCGTTTTTAATACACGGAGAGTTGGAGAATTCTCTGCTAAACCCTGGTGGAAGGGGATGATCATTTTCTTCCGACTTTAATACACGGAGAGTTGGAAAATTCTCTGCTAAACCCTGCTGGTAGGGGGTGATTATTTTTCTTCCGTCTTTAATACACGGAGAGTTGGAAAATTCTCTGCTAAACCCTGCTGGTAGGGGGTGATTATTTTTCCTTCCGTCTTTAATACACGGAGAGTTGGAGAATTCTCTGCTAAACCCTGGTGGAAGGGGATGATTATTTTTCTTCCGTTTTTAATACACGGAGAGTTGGAGAATTCTTTCGTCTTATTTCAGTCACACCTTCAAGATAGCAGTCTTCTGGTTCTGTTCAGTAATCAGCAAGTCCTTTTGGATACCACTGGCATGTTTAATTCGCAATTGACCTCTCCCTTTGGACACTTCCTTGACAATTGACCTCTCCCTTTTGACACTTCCTTGACACCACCTAGGCTATATTTTAGCCAACCATCAGATAAAGGTAGTCTAAAAATGTACATGCCGTGACTATCTTTGATTGCGATTGGTTCGAAAAACAGCAATAGTTGGTAAAGGACCAGGAGAAATCAGCAAAATAGAAAATTGTGAAGAAGAACATGTTTTGGCCAATGAAAGGCCAAGGCAGAAATCTTTGATTTCAAATGAGTTAAAAGCCCATAAGAGGGTCATTGGCACTATTTTTGCTAATTTTCTAAAATCATTAAACCTAGAGACCCCCCCCCCCCCCCCCCCCCCCCCNATACTTCACCTTTATCATTTTGTTCAATTGGCCTATTGATGTTTCATAATAAAATTGGTTCAAATCCATTGATCAGTTCTATAGTTGTCTGTTGAACATTTGTACCTTTATCCTCTGCACTTTGGGAGGCACACTCTTCATTTAAAAAACAATGAGTCCTGTTTACCAGGTGATGCATCAGACTAAATATGGTTCAAATCTCATCACCTATTATAGAAATAAGAAATAATCTTTTGAGATTTTATCTCAATCTCCCCTACTGAACCTCATCCTTTGCCCCAAGGGAGGCCAACATCTTGACAGTGATGTTTCAGACCAAAATGTTCATTTATAAAACATGGAGTCCCCCTTGGCCTGGTGATGTTTCAAACTATTTTTTGTCAAAATCTGACCAGGTGTTCAGAAGGAATAAGCTTTTAAAGGAAGATGTTGACAGACAGAGGCCTCACATAGTATAAGTTCAAAAGTCCCTCCAGTCTAAGTAAGCTAAAAAGCACACTGAAACAGAATTCTATTTACTTTTGTTTTATTATTGAAAATAGAAAATGAATTAACTAAAAAACAATTATGATGAAAATATTTGTTGCGACATATTTTTGAGCATTGTAAAAAAAAACAATAGTTTTTAAATGTAAGACACAATTGAAACTATCACATTAATCACATCACTATGTTTGTTAATGACAAACTATCCATACACATTTAACATTTTGATCATTAGACTTTTGTGTTCATATTTTCTTGATTTACTAACACACTCAACAACTATAAATAAATTCCACAAAGTGTACATGTACCTAAATGTTAACAGGACCATGCAATTCCATTCTGTTGCAAATGTGTTGATTTGATTAAATGGATAGTGTAACAAGTGGATTAGTGGTGGCTGGTTTAATCACGGTCTATTGTTAAACCGGGTCTATTGTTAAACTGTGTCTGTCAGTCCATCACTCATAAACGAAATCAATAAAACAAGTTAATGGTGGTACGTCTATCTATATATTGTTAGCTTGCATCTAGGTGTAAGTTCAGTACACTTCAATTTGTTCAGTTAAGTACTGTGTTCCTAGGTTTTATGTCTGGTCATAGTTTAAAACAAGGAATGGTTTATAACAGCTAGCATTTCTTAATTGTTGGGTGTATGATACAGTAATGTATAAATAATAATCTGTAACAGAAATCTACATCAGTATCACAGTCCATTCCAGTCTGACAGGCTAAAATGTCATCTTACCAGTGACTTATACTTGGTTCAAATGGTTGTAACACATTCCATATAAGTAAAATATGTACTTCAATGATTGAAAATGACCAGCAAAATACAATCCTAAAGTTCTCTAATCTGAACCCGAGGGACACAGGTCTGATGTTCATACTGTGGATATTACATGTACATATTCTTAAAATATATTCTGTGAAAATCAATGATAACAAAAATGCCTTATGGTTATATGGTTTAAAGTCTTTCAATATTTACAATATAATATAGCTTAACATTTAAAATAAACACTTAATGTTTCTAAATAATATTGCAAATAAATAGGAATATAACAGAAAAATAAACTATGGTAAGTGTAAGAGTAATAAATGTGACATTGTTAAGGTTTAGATATTGGTGGGTAACTTATGCAATACCTGTACATTGTATTACTAAAGATACAAACTAATTTACATATACAGATGTACGTAACAGGTTTGAATGTAATACAGATCTTTTGTTCTGCTACAAAACATAGCTAAAAATACAACAAAGTCGAGCCCCGTAGTGGTAAACACGGCTATCGGGTAGCGATAATTACCTACCATGTTTCTATCTATAAAAAATCCTATTTCATAAAAAATGTCTTTAATGTTAGAACTCAAAAGGTCACATTTTTACAAAAAACATCAATGTCTTAGAGAACAGCTTCGAAAAATCAATTTGACTGATAGATTTGAGTAGCAAATATTACTCTTAGAAACAAGACCTGACTTAGTTTTGACAGACAAAAGTAGATCCTGGTCGATCAGGTCTTTAAGGATTGTAATATAAACATAAGCTAAACAGGGAAATCAAAGGTGAAGGTTGATTTAGGATGAAATAGAAATTACAATTATCCGTTTCATTTATGACGGTAGTTCGCAGATTCTTTCAGGGAGTGGGTTTTGTATAAAGATGAAGGGATAAGAAAATACAAGTACTACAAATATAACAAACTTATAATGCAGGTCACATTGTAGCATAAATATTATATATTTTAGGTCAACATTAATAATATTGTATCACATTAGTTACATCATAAATACTTATTCTATCATATCAGTTACATTATAATAACATATTATATCACATCAGCTACATTATAATAACATATTATATCACATCAGTTACATTATAATAACATACTATATCACATCAGTTACATTATAATAACATATTATATCACATCAGTTATGTTATAATAACATATTATATCACATCAGTTACATTATAACAACATACATGTACTGTATCACATCAGTTACATCATAAATACATATTCTATCACATAAGTTACATTATAATAACATATTGTATCACATCAATTACATTATTATTGCATAAGTAACATTAGTTTTGTATCACATCAGTTCAATTTGATAAGCACAAAGAGGTCAGAAAAGGTATAAATATTACAGTATTATTGCTTTTATTAAATACCTATAGCTATTATTTATAACAATGTACATTGTATCATGTTTTCAGCAAAAACATAACTTATTATAACCTTGTAATGATGTTCACTTTGCTTCCCTAAAACTTGAACCCAACAACAAAGGCAGACAAAACAATGTTGAGGACTGACTAATGTTGTCATGTTATACAGTACCAACACGTACAACTCTGTTAAATGTTTGAAACCCATTCTACTTTCAATATGTAGATTTGATCAGTGGAAAACATCCCTCAAATGATCTGGTTACTGAGATATATACGTACAGTACTGTATTACCAATGTGAAATACAGGACCTGGTATTGCAGGGTCTGTAACTGGCTGTAACACTATAGTATGATTCACCAAGTATGTAATAAATACTGCTCTTAACCAACACCTTTAGTACAGCAGTCCAGAAAACCAGGAAGTGTAAGTATGTGTTTATCCTATGTTCCGAACATAGGAATGTTGGCAAAAGATCAGTTTAAATTAATTTCTTTGCCCAAATAATACAGTATGTATCAGTTTATTCCCCAACGACTTCCAGGAGCATCTGTTTGTAATCGCCCTTACATTCCGATCGGATCAGCTGAGAGAGATTCTTCTTGTATCGATCCTGTAGCCTCGCTTTGATGTCTCCTAGGTCCTTCTGTCAACACAAAAGTTATTTGTTACTGGTTTATAGAAACTTGGTAAACATTTAGTCAAGCTAGATATAAATTCTCAAGATCCAACAATATGTACCAGGAAGATTTTTGCCTGCAGAGTTTCAATTCTAACCAATTTAAAAGTAAAAATCAATCTACAGCCATTCTTTAATAATTAGATATAAAAGATCTCACAGTAATAATAAAACATTTTGAAAAACACAAAAATCAAATGTTGATATTAGGAGAGTGGGCGAGGAGAATATGAAAAACTTAGGTAGGGAGGGAATTATCAAATCAATAACAGAAGATATATATTAACACCTGTTAAGAGAAACTAATGTGCCATTAATTAATGTAAAGAGTAAAATTGAGTGTGTAGTATAACAGCCCTTTTAAGTAAAGGTTAGTGTGTAGTATAACAGCCCTTTTAAGTAAAGGTGAGTGTGTAAGTATAACAGCCCTTTTAAGTAAAGGTAATTGTGTAGTATAACAGTCATTTTAAGTAAAGGTGAGTGTGTAGTATAACTGCCCTTTTAAGTAAAGGTAATTGTGTAGTATAACAGCCCTTTTAAGTAAAGGTGAGTGTGTAGTATAACAGCCCCTTTAAGTAAAGGTGAGTGTGCAGTATAACAGCCCTTTTCAGGGAGGACACTGTTTGTTTGGGGATTTAATCCCTGGGCCTCCAAACCCTGGTAATTCTCAACAATGCATGTGTATCCTTCCGTGAACTATACACTTGTATATACTCTCAGACTACAGACAAATATACAGACAGTTGACTGATGACAAAGTCAAGTAAACAGTAAATGGATTATACAGACAGTTGGCTGATGACAAAGTCAAGTAAACAGTAAATGGATTACACTACTAATAGTTCTCTTGAACCTTAAATGTCAACTCAGCAAAATGATCTGTCCAGAAAAAAAACCGTTTGAATTTAAAGTTCATGTCCAAAAAAAAATGAAGTGGGAGAGAATAATATAGATCTACATGGGAAGTTCACACTAGAAAGCATCTTGACATTTTGGTAACATTATCACGAGTTCATAATAACAATCTTGCTACATAAAGCCTTGCTTAATTTAACAACAAGTTTCAACCTCTTATTTCCCGCTCTGACCCTTAATTAAGTTCCCTTTCAGCATTGAAATAAAAGCGTTGTTGCAATGTGATAGGTATCTGGTTGGTGTAGTAAATTACCTCTGAGCGCGACACAGTCATTCTAATGAGCATATTGTCATTGACACCCATACTGCTGAAACAGGAATTTAACTTCTCTGCATAGAAATCATGCGGGTCCTGTACTGCCATGGCTGAAAAAAAACACATTTCACAGTTGAAAATGTCCTAAACAGTAATTCACAATCAGGTAACAAAGCCATCACAAAAGATGTTATGAATACTGAATCTGTTAATTCAAATAGTAAATCAAATTCAAATTATTTATGCAAAAACATGTAACAGAAATGCTACAAAGATTGAGGTGTGACACCTAAATCTGTGATAGTTATGGCCCTTACCCAGAGCTATGTATCCATCCTCATCTTCACCCAAGCCTGCTGTGATCAGTCCAGCGTAAATGTCCTGTCCTGCTAACTGTCAACAGAAAATTCCATATTCAACTTTTATAAACAAAAGTGGATGGCCTCAATTATTGAATATTTGGTATCTTGCATCATGTCATAATAAGGATCGAAATATTGAAAAATGTTGGGAAGATTTTTCTTAAAAGATTTGACCCTCTACATATATATGATAATGCTATCACATTAAATGTCAGTAGAAGTTTAAATAAGATGGTGTACAGCGTTTTGCCTCAAAGGAGCACATACTGTATCCATAAACACTGACCATTTACTCAGTCCCAGTATTAATTATGTGTAAGTGTTCATTGATCATTTACTCAGTCCCAGTATTAATTATGTGTAAGTGTTCGTTGACCATTTACTCAGTCCCAGTATTAATTCTGTGTAAGTGTTCATTGTCATTGGCTATTTACTCAGTCCCAGTATTAATTCTGTGTAAGTGTTCATTGACCATTTACTCAGTCCCAGTATTAATTAGGTGTAAGTGTTCGTTGACCATTTACTCAGTCCCAGTATTAATTCTGTGTAAGTGTTCAATGACCATTTACTCAATCCCAGTATTAATTATGTGTAAGTGTTCATTGTCATTGAACATTTACTCAGTCCCAGTATTAATTATGTGTAAGTGTTTCATTGACCATTTACTCAGTCCCAGTATTAATTATGTGTAAGTGTTCATTGTCATTGAACATTTACTCAGTCCCAGTATTAATTATGTGTAAGTGTTTCATTGACCATTTACTCAGTCCCAGTATTAATTATGTGTAAGTGTTTCATTGACCATTTACTCAGTCCCAGTATTAATTCTGTGTAAGTGTTCATTGTCATTGGCTATTTACTCAGTCCCAGTATTAATTCTGTGTAAGTGTTCACTAACCTTTTACTCAGTCCCAGTATTAATTATGTGTAAGTGTTTCATTGACCATTTACTCAGTCCCAGTATTAATTAGGTGTAAGTGTTCGTTGACCATTTACTCAGTCCCAGTATTAATTCTGTGTAAGTGTTCATTGTAATTGACTATTTACTCAGTCCCAGTATTAATTCTGCGTAAGTGTTCACTAACCATTTACTCAGTCCCAGTATTAATTATGTGTAAGTGTTCGTTGACCATTTACTCAGTCCCAGTATTAATTCTGTGTAAGTGTTCATTGACCATTTACTCAGTCCAAGTATGAATTATGTGTAAGTGTTCATTGGCATTGACCATTTACTCAGTCCCAGTATTAATTAGGTGTAAGTGTTCGTTGACCATTTACTCAGTCCCAGTATTAATTCTGTGTAAGTGTTCATTGACATTGACTATTTACTCAGTCCCAGTATTAATTCTGCGTAAGTGTTCACTAACCATTTACTCAGTCCCAGTATTAATTATGTGTAAGTGTTTCATTGACCATTTACTCAGTCCCAGTATTAATTCTGTGTAAGTGTTCAATGACCATTTACTCAATCCCAGTATTAATTATGTGTAAGTGTTCATTGATCATTTACTCAGTCCCAGTATTAATTATGTGTAAGTGTTTCATTGACCATTTACTCAGTCCCAGTATTAATTCTGTGTAAGTGTTCACTAACCATTTACTCAGTCCCAGTATTAATTATGTGTAAGTGTTCATTGTCATTGACCATTTACTCAATCCCAGTAATAATTCTGTGTAAGTGTTCATTGACCATTTACTCAGTGCCAGTATTAATTATGTGTAAGTGTTCGTTGACCATTTACTCAGTCCCAGTATTAATTCTGTGTAAGTGTTCATTGACATTGACTATTTACTCAGTCCCAGTATTAATTCTGTGTAAGTGTTCACTAACCTTTTACTCAGTCCCAGTATTAATTATGTGTAAGTGTTCATTGTCATTGAACATTTACTCAGTCCCAGTATTAATTATGTGTAAGTGTTTCATTGACCATTTACTCAGTCCCAGTATTAATTCTGTGTAAGTGTTCATTGTCATTGACTATTTACTCAGTCCCAGTATTAATTCTGTGTAAGTGTTCACTAACCATTTACTCAGTCCCAGTATTAATTATGTGTAAGTGTTCATTGATCATTTACTCAGTCCCAGTATTAATTCTGTGTAAGTGTTCATTGTAATTGACTATTTACTCAGTCCCAGTATTAATTATGTGTAAGTGTTCATTGACCATTTGCTCAGTTCCAGTATTAATTATGTGTAAGTGTTCATTGATCATTTACTCAGTCCCAGTATTAATTCTGTGTAAGTGTTCATTGTCATTGACCATTTACTCAATCCCAGTAATAATTCTGTGTAAGTGTTCATTGACCATTTACTCAGTTCCAGTATTAATTATGTGTAAGTGTTCATTGACCATTTACTCAGTTCCAGTATTAATTATGTGTAAGTGTTTATTGACCATTTACTCAGTCCAAGTAATTATGTGTAAGTCTTCATTGACCATTTACTCAATGCCAGTAATAATTCTGTGTAAGCGTTCATTGACCATTTACTCAATGCCAGTAATAATTCTGTGTAAGTGTTCATTGGCCATTTACTCAGTTCCAGTATAAATTATGTGTAAGTGTTCACTGACCATTTACTCAGTCCCAGTATAAATTATGTGAAAGTGTTCATTGACCTTTTACTCAGTTCCAGTATTAATTATGTGTAAGTGTTTATTGACCATTTACTCAGTCCAAGTAATTCTGTGTAAGTGTTCATTGGCCATTTACTCAGTTCCAGTATAAATTATGTGTAAGTGTTCATTGACGATTTACTCAGTCCCAGTATAAATTATGTGAAAGTGTTCATTGATCATTTACTCAGTCCCAGTATAAATTATGTGAAAGTGTTCATTGATCATTTACTCAGTCCCAGTATTGATTCTGTGTAAGTGTTCATTGTCATTGACCATTCACCCAATCCCAGTAATAATTCTGTTTAAGTGTTCATTGACCATTTTCTCAATCCCAGTAATAATTCTGTTTAAGTGTTCATTGACCATTTGCTCAGTCCCAGTATTAATTATGAGTAAGTGTTCATTGACCATTTACTCAATGCCAGTAATAATTCTGTGTAAGCGTTCATTGACCATTTACTCGGTTCCAGTATTAATTATGTGTAAGTGTTCACTGACCATTTACTCAGTCCCAGAATTAATTCTGTGTAAGTGTTCATTGACCATTTACTCAGTCCCAGTATTAATTATGTGTCAGTGTTCAGACATGTATCTGTATTAACAGAACAACAATGATCCAGACTTACTTTTTGATATTCCTGGAATGTTGCTTTCACCTGAGCGTGGCTGGATTTGACCATTAGGTCAACGTAAGTTTTATCCTTAGGATGGACTGCCTTACCGTCCTGAAAGGACAATAATTTAATTTTTGTATTCAAAATAATACTGCATTAAAGAAACATGTCATACAGATGTATACAATGAAAATCTGAAAGGCCATATGCCCTGAATATGTATTTTTTTTTCTCAATATAAATAATACAACATTCTAGATTTTTTTTTACATTATCCAAAATATATATAAACTCTAGCAGTTTCTTTTAGATGTATAAATAATTTGAAGCAGACTGTGACTAATTCGTACATACAATTTGTAATTTGAAGCAGAATGTGACTAACCCGTACATATAATTTGTAATTTGAAGCAGACTGTGACTAACCCGTACATATAATTTGTAATTTGAAGCAGACTGTGACTAACCCGTACATATAATATGTAATTTGGACCAGACTGTGACTAATTATATATATAACCCATACTTTTAATTTGTAATTTGAAGCAGACTGTGACTTACCCTTGTAATTTGAAGCAGACTGTGACTAACCCGTACATATAATTTGTAATTTGAAGCAGACTGTGACTAACCCGTACATATAATTTGTAATTTGAAGCAGACTGTGACTAATTATATATATAACCCGTACATATAATTTGTAATTTGAAGCAGACTGTGACTAACCCGGAGTAACATGTTTGCGTCCTGTTTTGCCTGTGCCTGGTTGACCGGTCCAGTCTCCCTATCACCTGACCATACCGCCACCAACATATCTGCGAAGTCTGAGCCGCTATCCTCCTTTCTGATTTCACTCTCCACATCAGCCTTGTAAGCTGTCAATCACAACATATTCATCTGTAACTTGAAAACTATAAATGACCTTGTCTAAAGTTGTGAATCAGATTCCAGGTCATCTTCGCCTTGACGACTGAAATACTATGCAAGCAGGTCTAAAGCTGTAATGTCAGGATCTACATTAGCCAAACAGAATTGAGGAGGTACGGTAACTACATTAAAAGTACAACAATCAATAAGGTTTTTTCAATTGGGTCAAAATGTAGTTTTTGTTGGGAATACATTAGACTAGTTTAATAAGCATTGATCCTGCTAGTCTTCAAACTGAACTTGAGCATCGAACACAAGCATCATGCATGTGCTAAACTTATATTTCAGAAACTATTGACAGGCTGATCTGTTGTTTTGAATCTAGTCCCATTATTGTCATAATGCAAGCAAACCTCAAGTTTGCTTATTTCCCATTGATACTGAGAGAAAACATTGTCAGAAGCATGCCAGCCAATCAGAATAAAGGAATCGTATCACCGGGTACAATAATGTAGCCTAATTAAATATGTCATTTTTTTGCTCATCTCCAAACTTAACTTTGTTAGGCAAGCATACATTGTTTAGTTGAATTACATGAATATAAAGGGAATTTATTGTCCAGAAAGTGTGACAGATGGACAAACTAAAAACAGTACTGAGCAGTGTTTGAAAAAAACACCCATTAACAAAACAGAAACCGTATATATTTGACCGCATCTAAATCCATCAACTAATTATATATAATGCACCAGTAGTGTATGTTTGCAACCATATATAGTATGGGAAGTAATTCCTTTTCAGTTGATTTGGGCATGTAGAGTAGAAAAGTAAATCAAGGAAAGCACACTGAAAGATAGGACACTGATAATGTAAGAAAAGCTGCAGTGGTACATATAATACTTTTCTGTTCAGAGCATAAAAGTAAAAACACAGCAGAAAGTGACCATCAAAAGTCCCACACTGACATCAATACGCTTCAACAAAGCTTATACAAAACGGTATACAGATTTGTCTACAAAACAATACTACTTAAAGCAAACAGGAGAACAGACAAACAGGCAAAAGACAGACATGCAGACAGTTGCATGTGGACAGACAAGCAGACAGGTGGATTAATAGACAGGAGAATAGACAAACAGGCATGTGGACAGACACACAGACATGATGACAGACAAATAGACAGGAAGATAAACAGACAGGAGAATAGACAAACAGGCAAAAGACAGACAAGCAGACAGGTGGATTAATAGACAGGAGAATAGACAAACAGGCATGTGGACAGACACACAGACATGATGACAGACAAATAGACAGGAAGATAAACAGACAGGAGAATAGACAAGCATGCATGTGGACAGACAGAATGACAAACAGACAGGAGGATCAATAGACAGGAGAATAGGCAAACATGCATGTGGACAGACAGAATGACAAACAGACAGGAAGATAAACAGACAGGAGAATAGGCAAACATGCATGTGGACAGACAGAATGACAAACAGACAGGAAGATAAACAGACAGGAGAATAGGCAAACATGCATGTGGACAGACAGAATGACAAACAGACAGGAAGATAAACAGACAGGAGAATAGGCAAACATGCATGTGGACAGACAGAATGACAAACAGACAGGAAGATAAACAGACAGGAGAATAGGCAAACATGCATGTGGACAGACAGAATGACAAACAGACAGGAAGATAAACAGACAGGAGAATAGGCAAACATGCATGTGGACAGACAGATTGACAAACAGACAGGAGGATAAACAGACAGGAGAATAGACAAACAGGCATGTGGACAGACAGAACTTACAAACAGACAGGAAGATAAACACACAGGAGAATAGGCAAACATGCATGTGGACAGACAGAACTTACAAACAGACAATGTGGCATGTAGACGGACAGACAGGATGATAGACAGACAGGAGAACAGACAATGTGGCATCTGGACTGTCACACAGACGGGAGAACAAGAAAACAGGCATAAGGACAAACAGGCAGGACATATCAAAAACAGGAGAACAGACAGACAGACAAAACAAAGGATCAGGACAGACAGACAAAACAAAGGATCAGGACAGACAGACAAAACAAAGCATCAGGACAGACAAATACACATAGCACCACTTCTGAGGATCAGGACAGACAAACACACATAGCACCACTTCTGAGAGATTATGAGCACAGTAGGACTAGAGCAGATATGATACCCTGCCTGGATTCTATAAATCTGAGCTGGTTGAAGGCAATGAGGTTGTTTCTTTCAAGTCTTGTCACTGAAGAGCCAAGATAAATGACACTTCACTAATGAACACATCATAGTCTGAGAATAGCAATGTCTTAACACAAAACTCATGAATAAATTATTGGTCAATCAAGATGAGGAGTCAAAATATAGGAAATTGGTGCTAAAATGCTGTTTTATTGTCAACATACAGATAGAAAACGGGACAATATCCTATGCACTCATTATATACTCTTGTCACAGTGATGTTTCCTTATCACACAGGTTGTCAGCCAGACAATATGTCCCTATGTCGTTGTTCACACTGCTTGTCAGCCAGACAATATGTCCTTATGTCGTTGTTCACACAGGTTGTTAGCCAGACAATATGTCCTTACGTCGTTGTTCACACAGCTTGGCAGCCAGACAATATGTCCTTATGTCGTTGTTCACCCAGCTTGTCAGCCAGACAATATGTCCTTATGTCGTTGTTCACACAGCTTGTCAGCCAGACAATATGTCCTTATGTCGGTGTTCACACAGCTTGTCAGCCAGACAATATGTCCTTATGTCGTTGTTCACACTGCCATGCATACACTAACTCACTTACAACAGATACAAACAAATTAGCTTTTATCCAATTCTTTTCTGGTCACAATGTGGGGACACTTGCGAAGTTGAAGTACATGTATACCATCGAGGTTTTTCATACCATTTCATGCAAAATTCAATGTTCAGTCCCCAATGTATTAGGGATCAACCATGGTGACCAATTTCCTGAAGCCTTCAAAGAGATTTTTGTTTCATGAAAAATCCTGAAATATATACTTTATTACTGAAAAGTGTTTTGACTAAATATTCCTTCAATTGTCAGCCATTTCCAGAGCACAGATATGCTTATTACAAATGTGTTGTAAGTAACCACTGCAAGGATGCGCTGGGCACAATAAATTAAAAATGCTTGTCCGTACCTCCCCTGGTCTATTTTTAGTCAGTGATCGTGACCTTAAACAATTTTTTTAAACCCCTTTTGCATATGACAGTGTATCCCCATGTTGAATTTCAAAAAAGATAAGTCTCAAGCTTTCTGAGAATATCTCTGCATTTATTATACAGTTAAAGTATGGGATTGAGGGATATAGCAAGTTTCTTGTGTCCCGAGACCAGGTCTCTTTCCCGAGGCGAAGCCGAGTGAAATGGGCATGGTCAAGGGACACCAGAAACTTGCTATATCCCTCAACCCCATACTTTAACCATTTTATTATACCGATACACACTTAAGAGATAGTTTTAACTAGGCAATATTTGTAAACCCTAAGCTGTATAGCTTCACGTCCCAACTACCCTTTTGATGGCAATGGAGCCGAATGCTTCCGAGTTCGGTAGCAAGCCTCGCCCACCTCGCGCTGCGCTTCCGAGTTCGGTAACAAGCTCCGCCCACCTCACGCCTGATTGGCTCGGCGGAAACACTCGAGTGTAGGTGTGTTTTAGTTCCCAGACTAACACACAGGACTAAAACACAGTCACGCAAAAGTGGGGATATATTCGATCTAACTAATTACTTTTATATAGAGTAAATAAAGCAGAGGTATTATACAGTTAAAGTATGGGGTTGAGGGATATAGCAAATTTCTGGTGTCCCGAGACCAGGTCTATTTCCCGAGGCAAAGCCGAGGGAAATAGGCATGGTCAAGGGACACCAGAAACTTGCTAACATCCCTCAACCCCATACTTTAACCGTTTTATTATACCGATACACATACACTGCAGAGACAGTTTTAACTAGAAATTATTTGTAAACCATAAGCTGTAGATCACAATGGAACCAAAAATGCTTCCAAGTTCGGTAGCAAGCTCCGCCCACCTCGCGCGTCGGTTCCGAGTTCGGGAACAAGCTCCGCCCACCTCTTGCCTGATTGGCTCAGCGGAAACACCCGAGTGTAGGTGTGTTTTAGTTCCCAGACTAACACACATGACTAAAACACAGTCAGGCAAAAGTGGGGATATATTCGATTTAACCAATAACTTTTATATAGAGTAAATAAAGTAGAGGTATAATAAAATAATATAAGACACCTGCACCTGATGCAGGGCTTTACAAAAAGCAGCCCCCAATACCAAATTCTACCAATTAAACTCTGTTGGCAATTAACCTTGTTATAAAGTGTCATGATAATTTGTTCATAATTACTCAATATATTCAGCACATTGTGTGTGAAAATCTTATATGGGCCACAAATCCAAAAAATTAAGGTCAGATAAAAGTTGTAATCAAACTTTTCCTAGATTTCTTAGTAATTAATTTTTGAAGAGGTTTGGAAAAATCCTTTCGTGAAATTACTAAATATTACTTTGAGTTGGCAATGTACACAAAATTCCTTCAAAGGCAAAAATTCCAAAAACTATGGTCAAATAATAGCAGTCATAGTAATTTGACTTCTTACTGTATAAAGTTTGAAGTTAATCCTTACCAGTAATTACTCAAAATATTCAATGTATAATGTATGTCTGCCAGAATACTGTATGCATACCCGGATACTATATACCAGCCCTGATACTGTATGTCTGCACGGATACGGTATGTCTACCCAAATACTGTATGCATACCCGGATACTATCTACCAACCCTGATACTGTATACCAGCCCTGATACTGTATGTCTGTACGGATACGGTATGTCTGCCCAAATACTGTATGCATACCCGGATACTATATACCAACCCTGATACTGTATGCCAGCCCGTATACTGTATGTCTGCACGGATACGGTATGTCTGCACGTATACTGTATAACAGCCCAGATACTGTGCTCCTGCCCGGATACTTTATGCCAGCCAGTATATTGTATGCCAGCCCGTATACTGTATGTCTCTCCGGATACTGTTTGCCTGCCCGGATACTCAAAATCTGTTATACAGTATCAGTACATACTGTATGCCAGCCTGGTTACTGTATGCCAGCCCGGATACTGTATGTCTGCATGAATACTGTATAACAGCCTGGATACTGATACTATATACCAACCCTGATATTGTATACCAGCCCTGATACTGTATGTCTACATGAATACGGTATGTCTGCCAAAATACTGTATGCATCCCCGGATACTATATACCAACCCTGATACTGTATGCCAGCCCGGATACTGTATGTCTGCACGGATACGGTATGTCTACCCAAATACTGTATGCATACCCGGATACTATATACCAACCCTGATACTGTATGCCAGCCCGGATACTGTATGTCTGCACGGATACGGTATGTCTGCACTTATACTGTATAACAGCCCAGATACTGTGCGCCTGCCCGGATACTTTATGCCAGCCCATATATTGTATGCCAGCCCGTATATTGTATGTCTCTCCGGATACTGTATGCCTGCCCGGATACTCAAAATCTGTTATACAGTATCAGTACATACTGTATGCCAGCCTGGTTACCGTATGCCAGCCTGGATACTGTATGTCTGCATGAATACTGTATAACAGCCTGGATACTGTATAACGGCCTGGATACTGTATGCCAGCCCGGATTCTGTATGTCTGCATGAATACTGTATAACAGACCGGATACTGTATAACGGCCTGGTTACTGTATGCCAGCCCAGATACTGTATGTCTGCACGGATACTTATAACAGCCTCGATACTGTATGTCTGCCTGAATAATGTATATCGATCTGCACAGATACTGTATGCCTACCCGAATGCCCATCCACTCATGTGAAAACATATTACAACCCCCATTTAATGGGCATATAAAATTACAGTAAAGTTCATTGAAGGAAAGCTTAATAGAAATCTGGTTATGTCAGGGACAGTGATGTGATTTCATTGAAGGAAAGCTTAATAGAAATCTGGTTATGTCAGGGACAGTGATGTGATTTATAGGTAATGAAAATTGAGCCCTACTTGATTAAACACAATCTAATAGATGTTATTGACCACACAACATTCCCTTCCATCATCAGACCTCTGACGGTCGTAAGGCTAGGACAATAAACACGACAGTGATTCATCGCATGGACAAGTCTGTTTCGTGATCACAAAACAACAACCTTTCTATCTCAATTTGTCTGTGTATGCTGAAGACAAATAATTATGGGTCTTAAGTCTTTCAACTTATAGCTACAAATTACATACAGTTTTGGCTGAGTTCCCCACACAATAAAGGAGCTCCCGCTTTGTGAGAGAAATCATAGACACGTCCCTTGGGTAAAACACAAACCTTAAAAACAATGATTTTCTATGGCTGTTAAAAATATTTTCCTTTCTTTTCTGAATTTCAGAGAGAAAAAAATATATGTAACCAACCTTTTTTGTATTGATCAGCTATTGCCTTCTTTTCCTGAAAGTATAAATAAAACATCATGGTTTGTAATTTTTACCAGATAGATGTCTTACCAAACACATTAAAATCTGCATCCATCAATATACGCCCACTTTATTTGTTAAAGATATGTTTTTGTTTTGTATTTGTAAATTATATGATAGTGGTAAACCGTTATATCGCCAACTTAAAGGTAACTTAGTGTCAGTGTAACCACATGTATCTAATGTTGTACCAACACCCATCCCCAGGAGAGAAGCTCCGAGCGTAGACAAATATAAAAGGCTCCAGGGCCAAATCTAAACATCTATTTCAAGCCGACATATCCAGATTGAATTTTCAAGGACAAACAGTTATTTGAAATAGTGATGTGGGTTGTCCTCTGGCTGGCTGAGTTCTATATATACATATACCTATTATGCCACTGTCATAATCAATTACCAGGTAATACTGCTTCAATGCAGAATATATAGAAGTAAAACATGCAGCAGCGTACTTGCCATTTTTTTTAAAAAATTTCCATGGGGGAGACTCTGCATACTTGATATTAAAACAAATAATAGGTGTGTATACACCCCCTAGAAACAAATAATAGGTGTGTATACACCCCCTAGAGACAGAATAATAGGTGTGTATACACCCCCTAGAGACAAATAATAGGTGTGTATACACCCCCTAGAGAAAAATAATAGGTGTGTATACACCCCCTAGAGACAGAATAATAGGTGTGTATACACCCCCTAGAGACAAATAATAGGTGTGTATACACCCCCTAGAGACAAATAATAGGTGTGTATACACCCCCTAGAGACAGAATAATAGGTGTGTATACACCCCCTAGAGACAAATAATAGGTGTGTATACACCCCCTAGAGAACGAATAATAGGTGTGTATACACCCCCTAGAGACAGAATAATAGGTGTGTATACACCCCCTAGAGACAAATAATAGGTGTGTATACACCCCCTAGAGACAAATAATAGGTGTGTATACACCCCCTAGAGACAGAATAATAGGTGTGTATACACCCCCTAGAGACAAATAATAGGTGTGTATACACCCCCTAGAGACAAATAATAGGTGTGTATACACCCCCTAGAGACAGAATAATAGGTGTGTATACACCCCCTAGAGACAAATAATAGGTGTGTATACACCCCCTAGAGACAGAATAATAGGTGTGTATACACCCCCTAGAGACAAATAATAGGTGTGTATACACCCCCTAGAGACAGAATAATAGGTGTGTATACACCCCCTAGAGACAAATAATAGGTGTGTATACACCCCCTAGAGACAGAATAATAGGTGTGTATACACCCCCTAGAGACAGAATAATAGGTGTGTATACACCCCCTAGAGACAAATAATAGGTGTGTATACACCCCCTAGAGACAGAATAATAGGTGTGTATACACCCCCTAGAGACAGAATAATAGGTGTGTATACACCCCCTAGAGACAAATAATAGGTGTGTATACACCCCCTAGAGACAGAATAATAGGTGTGTATACACCCCCTAGAGACAGAATAATAGGTGTGTATACACCCCCTAGAGACAAATAATAGGTGTGTATACACCCCCTAGAGACAGAATAATAGGTGTGTATACACCCCCTAGAGACAGAATAATAGGTGTGTATACACCCCCTAGAGACAAATAATAGGTGTGTATACACCCCCTAGAGACAGAATAATAGGTGTGTATACACCCCCTAGAGACAGAATAATAGGTGTGTATACACCCCCTAGAGACAAATAATAGGTGTGTATACACCCCCTAGAGACAAATAATAGGTGTGTATACACCCCCTAGAGACAGAATAATAGGTGTGTATACACCCCCTAGAGACAGAATAATAGGTGTGTATACACCCCCTAGAGACAAATAATAGGTGTGTATACACCCCCTAGAGACAAATAATAGGTGTGTATACACCCCCTAGAGACAGAATAATAGGTGTGTATACACCCCCTAGAGACAGAATAATAGGTGTGTATACACCCCCTAGAGACAAATAATAGGTGTGTATACACCCCCTAGAGACAAATAATAGGTGTGTATACACCCCCTAGAGACAGAATAATAGGTGTGTATACACCCCCTAGAGACAAATAATAGGTGTGTATACACCCCCTAGAGAAAAATAATAGGTGTGTATACACCCCCTAGAGACAGAATAATAGGTGTGTATACACCCCCTAGAGACAAATAATAGGTGTGTATACACCCCCTAGAGACAAATAATAGGTGTGTATACACCCCCTAGAGACAGAATAATAGGTGTGTATACACCCCCTAGAGACAAATAATAGGTGTGTATACACCCCCTAGAGAAAAAATAATAGGTGTGTATACACCCCCTAGAGACAGAATAATAGGTGTGTATACACCCCCTAGAGACAAATAATAGGTGTGTATACACCCCCTAGAGACAAATAATAGGTGTGTATACACCCCCTAGAGACAGAATAATAGGTGTGTATACACCCCCTAGAGACAAATAATAGGTGTGTATACACCCCCTAGAGACAAATAATAGGTGTGTATACACCCCCTAGAGACAGAATAATAGGTGTGTATACACCCCCTAGAGACAAATAATAGGTGTGTATACACCCCCTAGAGACAAATAATAGGTGTGTATACACCCCCTAGAGACAGAATAATAGGTGTGTATACACCCCCTAGAGAAAAATAATAGGTGTGTATACACCCCCTAGAGACAGAATAATAGGTGTGTATACACCCCCTAGAGACAAATAATAGGTGTGTATACACCCCCTAGAGACAGAATAATAGGTGTGTATACACCCCCTAGAGACAAATAATAGGTGTGTATACACCCCCTAGAGAAAAAATAATAGGTGTGTATACACCCCCTAGAGACAGAATAATAGGTGTGTATACACCCCCTAGAGACAAATAATAGGTGTGTATACACCCCCTAGAGACAGAATAATAGGTGTGTATACACCCCCTAGAGACAGAATAATAGGTGTGTATACACCCCCTAGAGACAAATAATAGGTGTGTATACACCCCCTAGAGACAGAATAATAGGTGTGTATACACCCCCTAGAGACAGAATAATAGGTGTGTATACACCCCCTAGAGACAAATAATAGGTGTGTATACACCCCCTAGAGACAAATAATAGGTGTGTATACACCCCCTAGAGACAGAATAATAGGTGTGTATACACCCCCTAGAGACAGAATAATAGGTGTGTATACACCCCCTAGAGACAAATAATAGGTGTGTATACACCCCCTAGAGACAAAATAACCCTTTAAAATGACATATTTTGAGTTGTTCTTTCAGATGAAATCTTTATATCTTAATTAGTATATAGGAACAGTTAAGCAAATTCACTGGTTGAAAATACTTATTTTAAGGCTCCAAAATCGGAGGTCTCCCTCCTAAATAGGAAGTCTCCCTCCTAAAAAGGGAGTCTCCCCCCTAAATAGGGAGTCTCCCTCCTAAAAAGGGAGAGTTACAAGTATGCAGCAGGAATAGCATATTTGTTGTTCTACCACAATGAGCCCAACCCTAACCTGACCTTCCCCATCCCACAGCAGGATCAGAATAAAAACATTCCATGTGAACGTCCCTTTACTTCACCATCACACATCTGACAGATCAGTGTTATTGGTCAGTTGAGTCACTTTATCCACAGGTGATGTCCCGATCAGTGTCACTTACCTGTTTGTCACGGGTGACAATGATACCTATCAGTGTGCCATCCCTTATGCCCATTCCGTCCAAGGCCTCGTGTATACTGTAAGCATCATACTCAGCTGGGGTCTGTAGCAGCCCCTGTAGGATTTCCTCAGTGTCCCCTTGTAGCACCCTCCCCAGCTCCTTCTCTAGGTCCTGTTGCAAAAGGAATCCAGATTCTAAATATTTGCTACTTTACTTTGAAATCAATAACTCCTTCAGAAATTAAAATTACTTCTAGATTTGAAGTAACTCAGCAACTGTCTTGCTAAATCCGATTATGAACTTGCAGAATTTGATGTGTTATAAATATTACAGTTCTAACCCAAATTAAAACATACTGTGTAAAGGGCCTGTCACACACTACTGATGTACCTCGGTGGGAGGGACTAAACCAGAGCAAAATTTTTACAACGGCGAGAAAAATTGGCAGAGCTCCGGCGAGAAAGCAATTAAAAAACAAGGTTACCGCGAGCGGTATATAATACGCCCGTCACACATTGAATGAGCAGTTGTTTGTATGATTGAAATATATGAAGTATTTGTGAGTAATTGATATTAAAAGAGAAATCATTCAACATAACTGGTAGATCAATGAGTGCAATACAACATCATGGAACGCATGCATCGCATTAATGAAACCAAGGGTAATAACTCCAGTAATTA